TTTTTTTTTTTTTTTACTTAAGAAACATTTTTTCTAATTCTTTTAATTTATCTCACAGGTCCTATTTGTTTCGCCGGAAAGGTTTTTGAATGCAGAATTCATTTCCATCTTTTCTGACCCTACATTATTATCTATCGTGGTTGTTGATGAAGCCCACTGTGTTTCAGAGTGGTGAGTACTTGTTGAAATATTTTCTTTGTTTTTCACTTAAAACCTATTAATAGGTTTTAAAAGGCTTAATTATTATGACAGGTCACACAATTTTCGGCCTTCATATATGAGGCTTAGAGCCTCCCTGCTCCATGGTAGGCTTAATGCTGGGTGTATTCTTGCAATGACTGCAACTGCAACAAACAAAACATTGCGTGATGTGATGCAAGCGTTAGAAATTCCTCCAACAAATCTTGTTCAAGCAACTGAATTAAGGGATAATCTGCATCTTTCAATTTCTGTTAGTGGGAATAGGTGTGGTGATGCAAGCTCATGCTGATTTATTGATTTAATTCCTTTAACTACATTTTAGCTCTTAATCTAATAGTACAACGACAACTTTACAGAACGAAAGACTTGCTTGCGCTGTTGAGGTCTTCTCCATTTCTAGATATCAAAAGCATCATTATCTACTGCAAATTCCAGGTACATTTCACCATAAATAATACTCACACAGAGACTATAAGCCATACATAAATGCTAAACTGTAGTTCTTTTTTAGGCAGTGTTATTAATGGCGGATGGCGGTAAATGGCGTTTCGCCAAAATTCCACCATAGGTGGACACTTGGCGACCTTTGGCACCGCCATAACCACCATCCTACACAAATTTAGCATGTGGATTGTAAAATATTCTCCACGCCGTACTGCCATGGCCGCCATTTGATAACACTGTTTCTAGGTAACTTGGTTGGCTTAGGCAAATGATTTTGTCGATATTGAATTTTATGTAACATCTTTTGTCGCAATTTGTCTGTAGGCTGAAACTGAGATCATAAGCAAGTACCTCTGTGACAACAATATCTCTGCAAAGGTTAGTGCTGCATATATATGCTTCAATTTTATTGAAACATTAACAGTTTTTCTAGCCTGGTGATCTTTGCATGCATGTGGTAAAATAACCTAACTTACTATTCTTCTCTTTCAGAGTTACCATAGTGGCATTGCTGCAAATGATAGAAGCCGGGTACAGGATTTGTTTTGTTCAAACAGGATAAGAGTGGTGAGAAATTAGTCTGATTATCCTTTAGAATTATGCTGTACTATTTGTTCAATTTTTTCTTTCTTCTTTTATTCATTTATGACTTTTAGGACGTCCTATTTAGTAGCTGTAGCAGGATATGTTCTTACTTCTATTAACCTCGTTGATTTATTGACATGTTACTGTTCCTGGAAGGTTGTTGCAACTGTAGCATTTGGCATGGGACTTGATAAAAGTGATGTTGGAGCTGTAAGAGAACTTCCTGTTTCTTGCTTTTAATTTGATTAATTCATCTTTTTCCTTCAAACACTTTAAAATAAACAATCATGCATTTTTCGCCAATTATGTTGCATGCTTATGCAAAGGCTTAAGTTCAGATAATGCTATAATCCAACTTCAGAAGCACCTCAGTATTACATCTAACTCTTTAGAATTGATGTTATTTGTTTCCTGAGATTTCCTAAGCAGCTCAACCAACAAACCAGTTAGGCACAGGTTTCTAGAACGTTTGAACAACTGATAATAAATAGTTCGTTCTGTATCGATGACTCTTTTCAATAAGGAGGCTGTACCATTGTAGTAGTATCTTTATTAATGCAGCAATTTGTCTTTGGCATGTTTTTCAGGCGAACTTACTCAATTCTTTTATCTCCACATTACTTATAATTTTTGTCAATCATGTCCGTATCAGGTTATCCATTATAGCTTGCCAGAAAGTTTGGAGGAGTACGTCCAGGTCATAACCTCCTATTTCTCTCAAATGTGTTTTCAACTTGTTCAATTAAAATTTAAAGATGAGTTTTGTGTCTGCTGGCTAAAAGTAAAAGTATGAAATAATAATCATCCATAGGAAATTGGCCGTGCTGGACGTGATGGTAAATTGTCTTATTGCCATCTTCTTTTCGATGATGCAACTTATATCAAGCTTCGTAGTTTGATGCACAGGTAACTGAATGTACAAGTTTGATGTGAGTTCTCTCTTTTGAGTCGTTTGCTATCCAAAAATTGCTGGCGTGCTTCTTTTTTCAGTGATGGTGTGGATGAATACGCTGTCAACAAGTTGCTCGGTCAAATTTTCAAGAGTGAGAGATTGTCAGCTGAAGGAGTTTATTCAATGATCAAAGAATTAGCATGTCGTGAATTTGACATGAAAGAAGAGGTCCTTCACCAAAGTTTCTTCATTTTGTGAATCTAAATCTCCTTTCAACCTCTTGTCTAAGTACCTACATACTGAAATTAATTCCACTTAGGGAAATCGTTTATTTTTGCATTAAAGTAGTGTGTTTTTAGCACTATGCTAATTGGTGTTGATCTTTCTACCCAAGCATTATCATGTTTCAGATACAAGTATAACAGATAAAAAAATGTCCTTATACTTTTGTGGAGGTTGTTCCGAAATGATTATCCACCATTATTCTTTCTTTGTAGGTTATACTGACGATTTTGACCCAGTTAGAGTTGGGCGAGGTGCAGTACATACATTTGCTTCCGCAGATGAAAGTAACTTGCACTTTAAATTTCCATCAGGTTTGCAACTAAAACTTTTGCGAAGCATATATTAATACGCATATATGTATTGGATCTGACTCAATGAATGGTTGTGATTTGACTTTATTACCCATTTTACGTAGCATGGGATCAACTTCCCATATATAAGATGTGATTCAAATAAGAAAAATCCTTATTGCCAAGAACCGTAAGAACGCTATGCTTTAGTGTGTCTAATGTTATTTTAAATTTGTGTTCGGTGCTATTTTTTTATTAGGGACTATTTTTAAACGACATTCTATACATAATAGCATTTGTGTAAATGATTGCATCATATCATGTTATAAATAGCAGCTTACACAATTTAATCACATCATATGCAGTTATTCGGAATTTGTAATTAGGACTAGAATTATTAGAAACCTTCTCCATATGGGGTGTGCTGGTATGGGAACTTTTATTTCAGTTATGGACTTACAGTTGCTGCTGTTTGACTATTACTTCTGCTATAATACAAACAATTGATCCACAGAATATGGTAGTTTTGCCGATGATTCCATTTATTGACAACACAAAAATGTATTGCACTTATTCTGTTCAAATCTTGTTCTGGTTAGAATCTTAATGTACTTCTCTGCTGCTGCAGACTTCACCTACGTGTCTTGCAGCTAAAGATACCGTGGTTGCTACAATTTTAGAGAAGTGAGAACTATTTTGTCTCAAATTGAAACTGAAGACATTGTGTACTGAAGGGGTATTCACTTACTAATACATGTCCCTTATGAAACAGGTCTGAGATTAAACATGGACAGTATATGTTTAACATTCTGTCTGTGGCAAATGGCACTGGAATGCATGGTCTTGACCTGTCAAATTACTTGCAAAGTCTAAAGGTTGGTGTAACTTGTACCTGCATTGTACTGTCCAACAAGAGCTGGCTGGAAATAATGTTATCCATCATTTTCTTGGGAACTTTATAGGGAAATTAAAATAAGATGGCTATATAATAAAATACTGAGGCCTGTGTTCTCATACAGTGTTCTTAAAACATATTCGCTCCGTATGAGCATCTGTTTCCTAGGATAAACTTCAAAACCGAATAAAATCTGGCGAATTGGAATTATGCCCCGACCAGTACACTATAACGAAAAGGGGGTAATGCCGATAAATTCTTTTTTTTTTCTTTTTTTTTTTTCTTTTTCCTCTCTGTATGTCTTCATCCGCAAAAGAAAACGTCTATATATATAGGTGTTGACATCAACCGGTTACTGTTGATATATAAATTAGACGATTGAATCGGGGGTTAGGATATGTTTTATGGTGTAATTGAAATATTAACTAGGAAAGTAAATGTGCGATAAAAATAAACGAGACACCGATGTTGTTGATCTGCTGTAGAGATCGACAAGGAGAGTGGTTATCCAGGATTTTTATTAAGAGATTGTGTAGCGATGTGATACAGCCATATGAGAGTGTATGGAATGTATGAGGAGGGTGTATGCTATATGGCTTTGATCGGTTTTCTGGTCGAATGAGCGCTGGTTGACTTGTTTCTCATCCTTGCTAAGACCTAAAGAGTTGGATTTATACATGAAAAGTAAAAAAAAAAAATAAAAATTCCCGTTGCCAGCTAGGGGCGTAGGGTGACGTTGCATGTATCCATGCAAAACTCTTCTTTTGAGCATGTGACAACCTGGGAGGTGTTTTCAACTTTATCAGTTCGACGTTCAGATGAGGAGAGATTGCAAATCTTCTCGTGAAGACTCATGGAGAGATCGTGGTGTAGTATATTATAATTATTATTATTATTATTATTATTATTATTATTATTATTATTATTATTATTACTTATTTTTTATTTATCTTGACTTGGTGGACAAGTCAAGGAGTAGGGTTTATGGGAGCCTTATTTAAAGGACTCTCCCTCTTTTGTTATTTTCAGTTGACTATTGAATGTAATAAGATATTGTTGAGTTTCACGTGTTTTACGTGAGAGTATCTCGTTTACTTGTTTATCTTTCCCACTCGTACGCTTTCCTACATCAGTTGGTATCAGCAGTCAGTACGAATTGCGATGTTGTCGGGACGACAAGATGCCGCAAACGAACAACGTGATGCAATCTTCTATGATCGGTTTCGTTTCAACAGATTGACTACCGATTTGAAGAGTTGGACGTGTGTTTCACGGATTGGTTTGCCGATCTTTCGACGGGGATCGAGGATTTGCATTTGACTCTTAACAACGTGGTTGTTTCGGGATTATGGCTTTCGCGGGGGAGACAAAGGCGGTTGGTGGGGACGCAGCCATGTCGGGGCGCCCTGGCAGCGGTTTCCGCCATCTCTGAACGGCATCGAGGATGGCGACTTTACCTGGTCGGCTAACCCGTTGGTAGATCGACCATCATGGCGAGGAGACGAAACCCCAGGTCGGCCCCGAGTTCGAGAGCAGCGGCGGGCTGGAGGTCGTTTCGTACATGGCGGCGACCGCGACGACGAAGAAACCCTAGGTGCGATTCGATTTTGCATCCAACGACGGACGGAGGAGTGTTTTGTTTACCAAGTTTTGCATCCATATTTTGGGCCTGAACAGCCACAAGCAGGCTTTGACTTCGATGAGACCCCTGGCTTCGTCCATCGCCGCGCAACCGCAGGTTTCGACGACCAGCAAGGGCATTGTTGCACAGGCTGGAGTTTCAGCTATTCCTCGGAGTTCGAGCCCGACGTGTGCGGTATCTACGACACTTCGCCAATTTTTGATGAGGAGCCGCCGGGGCCGGCGGAAGAAGACAGAAAGAAGAATTCAAGGCGGATAAAGTTGAAGATATGGGTTGATTATGTTGCGGGAGAGGAAGTTTCCAGTGGTTCGGGTTCAGTAGCATCAGTTGAAAGAAGACGGAAAGAAGAATTCAAGGCTGTGGTCACGGAAGTTCTGGAAGATGGTTTGTTGAATTTTCTTGTTGTTAGGTCCTTTAATGTTGTCGTAGAGGGTGATACCATTAGGGTGCTACATTCAACCTTTTTGTTCGACATGGGGAAACAACGGGGGTTACTACCATGGATTCGACTCCACACCGGCCACGGGATAGCGTCGGCTTCGAGGCCGAAGCCTTCCGAACCGGGGGAGAATGATGTAGAATATTATTATTATTATTATTATTATTATTATTATTATTATTATTATTATTATTATTTGTTTTTATTTATCTTGACTTGGTGTACAAGTCAAGGAGTAGGGTTTATGGGAGCCTTATTTAAAGGACCTTCTCTCTTTTGTTATTTTCAGTTGATTATTGAATGAAATAAGATATTGTTGAGTTTCACGTGGTTTACGAGAGGGTATCTCGTTTATGATGCTTCTTTTGACGAATCCGTTTCAGTTCACTTCTTTCAATGCTATTAAAAAATTATATTTATCCTTCCCACTCGCACGCTTCCCTACATCAGATCGACAAGGACTAACTTTTGCCAATCGGGGGATCAGCATACCTATCATCGTCTTGGGCTGTTTGTGTGTCTTATGGGTCGTCCGATGCGGGGATTGGCTTAGGGCCAACTTCTTGCCTGGCCTTTTTTTTTTTTTTTTTCTGTGGGCCTTGTCTTGGGAAATTTAGGCACCACAATAGGCATATGAAAAGTTAACATTAACTTGTGAATTTAAACAAAGTGAAGGTTAAAACTCTTGGAACATTTAATAAACAAGTTACAAATTAAATTGCACGACACATATGTTACAACATTACAGTTACATTACTATTTCATTCATTTAATTTTTTTGATTTTCCCACAATTATCCCCCACATGATTTTTTTTTTTTTTTTTTTTTTAAAGTCTTATGGTCCAATAGTTGAAACTTGCATAGGATAGGTAAGTGTTACGCTTTGAACCTTCCCTTATTAGAAAGCACATTAACTTTATTAGACGATCAGTTGACGCGGTGTCTTTAAAATGTTCTTCCTTTTGTGTAAACGAAATACTCCACACAAGATTCTCCCTAGCATATTCTACTTCTCATTATTATGTCATTATATGTTGAGTTCTCATTATTATGTTTATTAAAAGCCTTCGACATATGCTTGGTTCTGCTAGGGAATCTAAGAATTGAGCTTAACATAATTCTCTTTGGAGCAACCTCACTTCTCTATCAGATTCTTAATTAAAAGTAGCTAGCACTACCTGCTTATACAAGAATCATTAAAAGCCAAATGTTTATTCTACTCATTACGAGTATCACTACGTGAGGAATGGATAAGGATAATCCATAGTGACCACTAGAGTCTTTCTATAATTAGCTTGTCCCTGTAAACCAAGATCTTGGGATCTTTAGTTAACATATAGTTTCTATTGATCAACTCATTTATAGAAGTTTAAGTACTATTTTTTTTAATGATTTAGCGGCTAACTATCTACTTAACCATTTATTTAGTGGATCCGCAAGATTATCTTTTAATTTCACATAATCAATACTTATATAATACCGTTTGAGAATAGTTGTGTAATGGTATTATGTCTTCGATGGATATGCTTAGACTTACTATTATACATATTACTTTATGCCCTTCCAATAGCCAATTGACTATATGGAAATATCTTGTAAGAAATGGCGAAGCCATTCTGCATCTTCTCCACTTTTGTCCAATACTATAAATTTGTACACGATTAGGATCTGGCAACAACATTTTGTTTAGAAGAATTTAATGATATGGCTGCACTTTCCCAAGGGGAATAAATATCTAAGGTAGATTTGGAGTCTCATATCTGACATCCAATTGACATCACTATAACTTTCAATCACAACTGGTTATTACAATAGTGCAGACCATATTTATGAGTATATCTCAAGTATCTGAGTAATCTTTCAACTCCTTTCTAGTGTTCATTTTCTGAATTACTTATATATCTAGCCAGTTTGCTCAAAACAAAGATGATGCTAGTACAATTCATTAAATATATTAGATTCCCTATAACCCTTGAGTATTCTATTTGAGAAATACTTTCGCTTTTATTTTCGAAGATGTTGACTTATATCTACTGGGTCCTAGCCCGAGTCGAATCATTTTTGATAAATTATTCAAGGATTTTTTTGTATACTATGAATTTTAATTCCAAGAATCACATCAGCTAGACCTATCTTTCTTGTAAATCTAGAATTTAACATGTCTTGTGGATTTAATAATTTGATCATTACTTCCGACAATAAGCATGTCATCTATGTAAAGACGTAGGATTACATTACCCTTCTCGGTGTCTTTAACATATACATTTAAACACATTTATCGTCGTTCTAATCGACCCTAACTATTGGTTAAATGCAACTTCCTTTGATTAGTTGAAAGGGGAAATTGCATACGAATTGAAAGACGAAGCCTTTTGTTATACAATCTTGGAGGTCCCAAAAGATATCTGTTCTTTGGCAGGTCGGTTGACAAAGTGGCTTAGGGAGGTTGAAAATTGTAAGGTACTGAGCTTTTTGATGGTATTTGTTGATTATAATTTTTCTGTTTATTGATTCTGGGTAGTTTCTATTATCTTTGATGTCTTATTGGTAAAAACAGACATTGGTGACATTGAGTAATATTTTCATTTTGTTGAAGGGATTGGGTCCATCACTTATTATTTAAACTTTTAACAAGAAATTATGTACCATTTGAAGTTCATAGTTCTGTAAAGTTTTCAGGTAGATAGTCTCACAACGCCCCATATCTTCTAAGATGACGATCAAGCCTTAGTTTAATTGTTAGAGTGCTTCTAAGAATTGGACTAAATTTCCTTTTGTCCCACCTGTGGCACGATATATGTGAAAGAACTTGCATTGTCTTCTCTGTCTGGACTCTGGAAATGATTACTAATTTGTATATTGTTTACTTTCTTCTGTGTTTGCTCACCTGCTCTTGCCTTGAAATAGGTTCGCAAGATAGATGCAATGTTTAATGCCGCAAACTTTGCTGCCAGAGCGTGTGACAATGCATTTGGTTGCCATAAACATCAACATACGCCTTGTATGCGAAGGACGATTCATGAGTACTTCCAAGGGGGTAGTGATGTGACTGTACCTATTCAGATGGACCGAAACAGGTTCCAAAAAATCAGCAAATTGTTTAACAAATTCTTTGCATGTCATTTTCAGGTTAAGCCCTAAAAGATGTCCACCAAGTTCCACAAAATTGATTATTTTATTGGTCATGGCAAACCTGACTAAGCATGGCATTTTTTTTTTTTATAGATTTGCGTTGATAGTGATGTGGGTTTTCATTTACAATATGTGTATATCATCATACAAAGCTTGCTACCAGAAATGAACTTTTGATAATTGATAATTCCTATAGACTAATGTAAATATTTCATTTCCTGCAGTCGGTTTCTGCAAGCAGATATTAAGGTATGGATTTCCAATGTTAACGTAATTGATTCCTAAACTTAGATGCAATGTTTTAATCTTTCATTCTCTCTGGATCTACTAGGTTTTTCTAAAAAGTAATGCGCAGATGAAATTTACTCCGAGAGCTGTTGCAAGAATACTGCATGGAATTTCGAGTCCAGCTTTTCCTTCAACAACTTGGTCACAAACTCATTTCTGGTATTGCTGCGAAACAATTATCTAAATTTCTGGTCACAAATTCTCATATTAGACTTATCCGATTGTCTATTGGCATCTCTCTTTCATTTATCATCTCCGAGACTAAAGGTTCTTTCAGCAGATTTCAGTTGATGATTCAAACAATTTCTAGCTTTTACACAAGTTTCTTCAATTTTTTTCCTTTACATTCCAAGTGTTGCATATTCCCCTCCGACGCATGGTTAATATTATGACTGAATGTATTTTAAGTGCTAGATATATCATTGTCCAAGATTTTTGTTGGATACATAAGCCTTCACTACTCAATCTCACCCCCCTTTTTTTTTGTTTTTTTATTTCTATGGTTGATAAAGTAATTATTTGATGGCGAAAACTGAATGAATTGCAGGGGAAGATATGTGCACGTTGACTTTGGAGCAGTAATGGAGACAGCAAAACAAGAACTCATGAATTTTGCTAGGAACGTGACTTAGAAAAAGCCTTTTTCAATAATCTTCAGTGTACTTTCATGGAGACTCTGACAAGGTTTCCATTCCAAGTGTTGCGGAACAAGGTGACATGTATTTATTATAACTTGTTGCTCAACCTTCAAAGAATCTTATTGCTTACAAACTGTGGAACAAGGGATTATGGTCTCTTATGCTACACGGCAGTAGCAACATGGAAATTTCGGTTCTACCCAGGCCGATGGACAACAGTCTTTGAAAAATAGATTTGGTTTTGAAGGTCTTTAACTCTATGTATCTGGACCTGTAAGAATTGGGGTATGAAATTGAGAATTGGTGGTGTTGAAATTGTATACTTGTATAATTGTATTCAAGAATCTAAGGCTTTTAATGAGTTAAATCGCATCTTGAATGTTGTTTAATTGCTTAGTTTTATAATATTCTTAAACTTGATTCTAATTTCGATTTTCTCCTTGATAAGTATGTTAAGTTCCACATCATCTCCATTTCAAGGATCGTCTAGATGCGCTATGAATAACTTAAATTAAGATAGTGTGTTGAAAATGATTCTGTTCCCGAAAAAGATCAGTTGCTACAAGACATCCAAGAGGAGGAAAATGCTCCATTCCGGAAAAAGAAAAGAAAGAATACTGCCAAATGTTGGAAGGAGTTAAAAGCATATATTGGAAATGATGGTGTCGAGATGGTAGGATGCAACTACTACCACCAAAAAAATGAGAGTGAATAAGATCAGGAAGACCACTCAATTCAACAGGCTTTTGAGTGCGTGTTTGCAAAGAAAAATTCAACTTGGAAAAAATCTGAAGTTGAAGCAACATTTTCTTTCTTTTACACAATCTGAATATGAGGGAGTTAGTTCAATAAGTGATTTTGTCTATGATCATGCTAACGTTTGGGAAGTTGTTGCGCATATGCTTTTAGTTCATGAGTATCCGTTTGCGATGATATAATATGCTATTTTTAATAAATTCACGAACACTTGTTCATCGTTTTATTAAAAAAAAAAAAAAAATACTCGTCACTTATGAAGCAAGATTGCTGGTTTGCATATGAACATGAAAAGAAAAAAATGAAGAAATTGGTGAATAAGGTGAATAAGATAAAAATTACTACTGATTTGTGGAAGAGTGGACAGAATATCCAGTATATGGTTGTGACTCGTCATTTTATTGATTCTAACTGGACATTGCAAAAGCATGTATTAAGTTTGGAAAATGTTCCACCACCACATACTGGAATCATTGTTGTTGATGCTCTTAGTAAATCTCTTCTAGGTTGGGGAATTGATGACATACTTGCTTTTATTACTGTTGATAATGTTGCCTACAATGATGTTTGCATTAGGAGATTAAAAGGTGATCTTTTATTGAGAAAAACCTTGCCTTTGGATGGAAAATTATTTCATGTGAGATGTTGTGCTCATATTTTAAATTTCTTACTCAAGATGGGATTGGTCATATTAAGGTTTTTTTTTTAAGTTATTAGGAAAGTGATCAAGTAATTAGGAGTTCAGAGGCTCGTCGTAATGGTTTACTCCCCAGACTGGGTCGTCAACCCCAGATTAGGTCGTCAACCGAAGCACTAAGCCCACCCTCTAAGTCAATCGATGCTGTGTTGCGCTCGGTAAAACCTTGTAACACTCACGATACAAAGAAAATCCGTAGAAATGAAACAAATGCTTGAGCGTCAGTCTCTTGTGCATTAAATTTGAATTTTTTTGAGTAATGACCGCGTTGCAAAAATGCATGAACAAACTAAAATTAAAAACATATTTACCTCCTCGGCCACATGCAACAAGTACAATGGTTAACACTAACCAAATCAACATCAACACACACTTGGATGCCTGGAATCATTTGAATAGTACTCCTTCAATGCATAACACAACTTTCGGTTCAATGAACGTGCAAAAATTTCTGGCGCCAAAGCATTGAACACAGGGCCTCAGTGTATGTCTACCTTCTGATGGCACTTCTTGAAAAACACTCGGTATTCCTAACCATCGAGCCACTCCACGCCACGGATTATGAGTAGTAATAATGGTGGTATGTATACATCAACTCAACTAATGAATAGGTACATGCCATTTATCTATGATTTTTACGTGAAAAATCAGACAATCGCGTGCGTAAATTATTGCAAAACATTTTTGTTGGATATGCAATTCATGATATGGATCAGTGAAAAAATGACGGTTAGTCCTAAATTTGTTGTTTTCAATTTGGATATGTGATTCAAGAATATGCGACAATATTGCGCATAATCATTAATTATACGACGTTATGGATTTTGATATGCAAGTCGTAAGAGATGAGAAAATATATCGCATAATCATTAAATACGCGACAAACGAGTTGAATATATACGACTATAGAATGCGCGAAATGTTCTCGCATATGGTACGTTATGCGGTGGAATAAATATGTGAGTCATAAACTATGCAGAAATATGTCGCATAATAATAAAATATGCAATGTTCGATTTAGATATGCGATAAAAAAAAAATATGCGATATGTTAGCGCATATGGTAAATTATGTAGTGGATTTGGATGCGATTACAACATATGCGAAAGCATTTCATATAATTTTTTTACTATGCGTCAGATTTGAATATATGCAACAATACCTCGCATAATTGTTAATTATGCGAGATATGTGCTTTTTATATCGCATATCATTTCGTAAGTTTTGAGAAAAAAATATGTGTTTTGATGGAATAGTGTGTAAAAAGATGACAATGTATATATTGGAGTGTAAAAGAAATTGTCCTTAGATTATATCCATCCACAATTTACAGTGAAAAGTTCCTATGCAACTTCAACATAAACCAACATGAGAATGTCAGTTCAAATTTTAAGATTGTCTCTCAGCACATTGATCATAAATGTTTGCCAAAATAATAAAAAATAAGAGGAATAATACATACTGGAAAAAAAAAAAAATAATAACCATAAACACACATGAAATGCACCACATACACAAACGCAAGAAACCAATAAAGGGTTACTGATAAAAACATGAATCATGGATGAACGATATCATGACATCTTAAACCTTGTGTATATCGTTCTTTGATTTCTTACACATGTTTTTAACCCATTTGAGGTTAAGAATTTTCTTCCCCGCCTTGTTCTTGTCGGACCGACTTTTCTCCTTCTCGTTCGGCCTTTCGGATGGTAGAGGCTCAGGGTCCCATTGATCAGCCCACGACAATCCATTGGAATTGTATATATCCATTCTCTGTTTGTTGTTCAGCCTCCTTTGTGCTTTATGGTCTCCTCTGGCCTCTTCTTTATTTTATTTCTTAGACACCCCAAATTAATCTGACAATAACTATTGGAAGAGGAGACTTAATGTGAAAGCTAATGGGTGTGGATAACTTGGCCAATTTACTATTTTAGGAATGTGAGTAATTCACTCTCATCCTATTGCTTTGGCTTAGTTGTGAGGTCCTTGTGAGTCCACTAATAGGACCTCGTAATTTATGATATGTTGGTAGATCACTTTTTAGTTGTCTGAGGTTGAATAATTAGAGAAAATGAGCCTAGTTTATAAGTCTAGTAAGCTACTCTTTTTATTAAAAAATAGTTTTTTTGATTGAACCCTAGTTAGATGCACCTAGGCTCGCTCACTAAATGTGTGCTTCACCTCTATGTGACCTCATCTCTTTTTAAGAATCTATAATTCGAATATGGTATCACACCTTGCCTGATCTATGACTTGTAACGAGTCTCTGCTATCCAATCCATATCTCAAACGGTTATACAGTTAGTGGATGAAGAAAGAAGATCTTAGATATTTATTTATTTTCCATATTCTTTATTATTATTTACCTTTGCTTTTATTAGTTTCCTTAGTGTTATTTAAGTTGGTAAATAGATATTTATTTAGTCTTTCTTGTGGGGCAAGATAGCTTGGTTAGGAGACTTGGACTCTATATATTGTGATCTCTTGTCATAGGGTCGATTGGTTATGATGAAATTATATAAAATTTGTTGACTTATTGCTCTTCTATTCCCATTTGTACGCTTTCATACATCAGTTGGTATAAAAGGTTAGCACGATACTATATGCTGCCGCGAATACAAGATGCTACGGGGTTTGGCTGTCGGCTCGAGACGATGGATCGTCGAATTGCGGACATGTGTGGTGAGATCGAGGACATGCGTCTAGCTCTACATACCGTGGTTCGGGATGAGCGAATGAACTGCGACTTGGTCAGCGGGGGCGGTTGCGGAAGTTATCGCAGAGGTCGTGGCAGAAGAGGGTCTGGCGGGGTGCCCCGTCAGCGTACACCACCACCGAGGCATGTTGAGGACAACTGCGAAGAGACGTTGTCGGAGGTCAACCCCTTCGGCTTTAGACAAACGCAACAAGACAACGATGACTTTAGATGGATCAAAGAGTGCCGAGACAACGAAAGCATGGCTGAAGTATATTCTACAGACTGTATTGCAAGGTCGACGGCTCAGTCCCGTAGTCCGGACATGCCGTGACTGGCGCGGGTGTCTCAGCGGGGTTAGCGTCAGGGGCTGGGCGCATGGCCGCACTCAGCGAAGGTGTTCAATACGCGGCAGGGGTCGGGTATGGTTGTCAGGTCGCGACAGCAGGTGTCCTACGGGCCGTCAACGAGCTTCGTTACTTCGGTTGCAGTGAGGTTGACCATTGATCGACCGCTTGTCCTCGGATGATGCGTGCATTATTCGCCGAGAAGACCAGCGACATCGACGCGAATGGCTTTTACGACGGATCTATGATTTTTTATGAAGAGCCTATAAGGTTGGAGGACAACTTGATCGAGTTTGTCATGGCATTTTCAAACTCTATTAAATGGAAAGTGTATATCATATTGGGTCGCACTAAAGCTGATATTATGAAGGTTGAAGCAACAAATTATCTGCCCTACAAATCTAAGCAGTTCTTTTAGCGCATTCAACAATTTTTGAGTGTTGCGTGTTGGGGCTGCCCGACAAAGACCTAGGTGAAGTTGTGTGTGCCATAGTTT